TGTAAGAGCAGCAAGGGCTCTTAACTGCTGAGCCATTTCTCCAGCCCCAGTTATGGTATTTTTACACAAAGCAGTCAGTCAATTCTCAGACTCAGGTGGGCAAGGGATAGACAGGCATTGGCTTTGTTTGGAACCATCCACATGTCCCCATTCCAAATTCTAGGATCCCATTCTTTATGCTCTTTCACATGAAAATCTTGCTGAGACTGTGAATTCAAAAGACACCGAGGGCTCAGCAACCACACAGTTAAGGTTTTGTTTCATATTTTGTGAAATCAGCCCAGTGTGTGCAAGAATCTTTTCCCATTATAGAAGACTTTGAGTCCTCAGTGTGTAACTTATGCTGAGAACTGAAGGGCATAAATGCTTCGTTTTCTTTTGGTAATCAATCAAGCATCCTCAGAAGAATTCACCCATCACAGTCCTTACTGTCATGCAGTCAAGTGCTATAGACAGCTGGCCTCTCAGATACATTCCTGTCACTTAATCATAGATGATACCATGATTAATTGTGATGTCACTGCCTGCCATGGATTGCTAACATGCCATTTCCTACTGGCAGGTAGTTCAGCTGCTCCTTCAAGTCCAAAGGCACAGCCACGTTCCCAGATCTAGTCTCTGTGGGGGCTTTCCCGGTACCACTCCTGGTGTAGAGCCTACAAGCTGGGACCCAATCAGGAGATGGAAACATCACGGTTATTTGGACAGCGAAATCAGTATATGAGGAGAAAAGAGGAAGCTGAAGATCCTCTCCCCCTCAGCCTTTTGCTGATAGACTATCCATCAAAGGAACACTGCTAGCAATTAGACAAGTGAGGTTGTCTCTGTGCTGAGGACAGGTGATGATGATGAAGATAATGAGGTTACAAAAGAGCCCTCAAGGACACACACACACACACACACACACACACACACACACACACTTCTGTAAGCCAGAGAAGGAAATCCCCTTTCGTCTTTTACAGATTCAGCTTGACTGCCAGCATCTCTCAGATTCAGCCACCAGAGGACAGCAAAGGACCAGCTAGTACACACACACACACACACACACACACACACACACACACACACACACTTGTGAAAGGCCAGAGAAGGAAATCCCCTTTCGTCTTTTACAGATTCAGCTTGACTGCCAGCATCTCTCAAATTCAGCCACCAGAGGACAGCAAAGGACCAGCCAGCTAGTACACACACACACACACACACACACACACACACACACACACACACACTTGTGAAAGAAAGAAAAACTCAATCTCTCAATCTCTCAATCCCCAAAGCAGAAGAAATTCTGGACTGGCATGTGAGTGGTGGGAGAGCAAAGAACAGTTTGAAATCTCCATGACGTGCTGGGCAATGGTTCTTTAACAAAACCCAGCAGGGAAACAGGCAGAGGAATGGAACTAACAGGGTGTGTGCCTGGTGAAGGGACAGGAACAGCCCATGGGCCAAGGAGAGCAGAGAGCGGGGTCAGGACAGAGTGCAGGGGGTTGGGGGCTGGCCAATCAAACCCAGGACTGTGTGGGAAGGAGGCTGCAAGAGGTAGAGATCAGACCTGGGGTCTGCTGTTCCCTGGAAGTAGAAGGGAGGTAGAGGAACAGCTCTGAGAAGCTGTAAAGAAACGGGCTCTTCAAGTCCCTCGACCTCTGAACCTTGGCTTCCTCACTGTAGGTTTTGGCTTACTCTTACCCCTAACTCACAAGTTACTCCAAGAACCAAAAGTGATGATGTATGTGAATTGGGTAACCCAGTATCTGGCACACTCCACCATCTGCCCCTCTGCCACCTTGCACCCATTTGACTTGGTTTGCCTTGGAGTTTACCTCTGACCCAGGTATGGGAAGAGACAGCACAACCAACCTGTCACCAGACCGGCTCGGTGTCACTGCTATCTGTTAGCCAATCTCCTTTCAATGTTCCCTACCCCCGAACTCTGGATTGTTGGAAAGCAAGCCCAGGAGTTGTATCATGTCAGCCAAGATAATCCAGTATCCAGTAGATGTGACCCCAGTGACATCACAGCTCCCAAAACAGAATTCCTTCAACTGTGGACGAGACTTCTTGCTATGCTGGGCTCAGGGCCCAGGCCTGGCTTTTGTCCCTATCTAAGATCTTCCACTCCTGATGAGGGACTTATGGCTTGTGGGAACAGAGGTAGCTAGTTCCACAGGAAGTTCATTTCCCTTATGCACTGAAGCTTCCTCACTCCTGAGAGAAAATACTGGTTAAGAGGGGAGTGGGAGGACTTTCCTGGGCACACTGGCTGGTAGTCTCCCTCTTCAGTAGAGCCCTGCCACCAGGAAAGCATAGCACCCCAACCCCCACCTCCCAAGGGCTCACAGACAGTTGAAGACAGCTAGCTGGCTTGGCGTGTGTTTGTATGCTTGTGCTTACAAGTGGGGGAGGGGTGGGAGTAAGAATAGGGCAGGGGACCCAAGACCTCTAACACCTCCCCTGGGACTTCAGCATCAGGATAGATGAGGGAGGAAGTGTTAAGGGGCCCTGGGCCCAGGACAGGCTGTTCCTAGTTGTGGCCAGCACTCTGAAGGAACAGCCAACAGGCCTAACTCCCCAACCATCACCCTCCTCCATCTCAGCCTCTCTTTTCCCTGCCAGGGAGACAGGCTCAGGCATCCTGGCCAGCCAGTTGCTGTTTGGATGCCCAACCCTGATACTTCCAGGCCTTAGGAAACTGGGATCAGGACACCTGGACTTCAGTGGGGCCTGGTTGCTAATCTTACAGTGAGTGGATCCAGCTCAGTTCTAGGGCACCAAGCCTGGTCCAAAGGAAGCTGATCATAATTTGAGGCCCCCACCTCAGTTGTAGGCATCAGGACCTCCCAGCCTCAGTTTCTCCACGTGCCCCATTGTCTTATTCCCCTCTACTTCAGCTCCCCCAAGACTATTACAAAGACATATGAAACCAGAAAGCCCAGATAGCTGTCAGAGCCTGGGAAGAAGGGGACAATTTGAGAATCAAATCCTGCCTCTGCCACATGCCCAGTGGGTGACATCAGGAAAGACCTTCCTTCCTGGGCACCCTAGCTTGTTCCTGGGGCTGGGCTGGCTTCTCACATTCCTCCAAGATCCCTTCTTTGGTGGCTCTCTCTTCTAGCCCTCTCACTTAGTGGCTGCTGCCTCTGGACGTGAGCATTAAGTCCAACCGGAAATCCTTCCTGTCCAGGGGAATTATTGATTTCCACAGCTTCGGGAAGTGTCGAAATCCAGCCTGTGTTTGCTTTGGGTTTGTTTTCTTTCCATGGAGCACAAAGTGCACACACACACATACACACACACACACACACACACACACACACTCTCTCTCTCTCTCTCTCTCTCTCTCTCTCTCTCTCTCTCTCTCTCTCTCTCTCTCTCTCTCTCTCTCTCTCTCTCTCTCTCTCTCTCTCTGTGGAGGGGGTGGGAGTGGAAGGAGGCTGGGCCAGAAACCTGAAAGCCAACCTGGAAGCTTCAGGCTGAGCTCCTAGTAAGCTGACAGCACAGGGGGCCTGAGTTCAAGGCTCACTCCTCTTCCCACTCACTCATGTAGTCTGAGCTAAGTGTTATTGGCTAAGCTGCAGACAGTGAGACCAAGAGGTCACCTCCCCTGGGCCTGTCCCAGTGCCAAGCAGCTGCTGGGACTCATGCACACTGCCCTCTTTTATCTGCGTAGTGTGCTGAGGGAATGGGGCCTCAGAGAGATGGGCAATGGGGGTGGCAGTGCTAGCCTAGAAGGCAACCCTGTAGAGGACCCGGTGCTCTCTGCTTGGCACCTCTCTAGGTGCTAGTAGAGGTCCCAGCAGTTGGCACATGACCCGCTACGGCATTGTATACATGAGAATCATTCTGTTCTTTCTTCATTCTGCAGTGTGGGGTCCCCTCCACTCACCTGCTTGGCTGGACTGACACCGACTGTATCCAAGCAGACCCAGGCCTGCCTGACAGTTACACACCCGAGGGTGGGTGGGAATTCTCTTTGTTACTCTGAAGAAAAGGGCTTGGTGGCTTCCAAGGTTCACCCTCCAACCCTAAGCAGTCGAGGCTCTTGCTTCCTGAGTTAGTTGTTACTGTTCTTGCTGGTCTTGTCCTCTCCCCTCTGGTTTTCTCTGGAGGCCATGGGTCTAGAGACAGGAGTTTGCCCACACACATGCACTTTGACCTATGCAAATTTAGTAACCTGGAAATTTCCTCCCCATCCCCTGCCCTCCAGGCAGCAGTAATCTTAGATGGTAAGCCAGTTCCAGCCAGGAACTGGATGCCCCTGCAGTGGGACTGGAGACCCCTCCTCACCAGCCCCTCACTGATGGTACTATTAGTTCCCCCAGGGTCATAAGGAGGCTCCTCAAACCGGGTGCTTGCTCAGGGTACACAGTGCACCCAGGGGTCTTTAAGAACTTAAGGACACGTTCAGACCAATGTCTTTGCATTGCTGCTTCTGGAGGTGACTGAACAGCAAGACTGAAGGGAAGTACTGGTGCTTGGCCAAGAGGCTTCATGGACAAGTAGCCTCTCATGGTGTTGCTTTATCCCTACAGATGCCAACCTGTGACAGCCCTATCAAGTCCTGGCCTTGCTCAAAAGAACTCCCTCTTCCCTCTTCCCTTGTTTGCATGTGATCACCAGTGTCTCGGACCCCAGTCCTGGGCTCATACTCAAGTATGTGCAGCCACAACGGAGCGCAGGGCTGCACTAAGACTGAGTTACTCCTATATATGGTTACCCAGGAGTGGGAGTCCCATCCCAGCTAATGTGTGACTTAATCCACTGACAATCTCACCCAGTTGGGGCCCCACTTGGGGAGAGCCCTCACTCTGGAAAGGGTGTTCACTTGAGGGCAAAGGGGCCAGGAGGAGGCAGATCAATAGTGGAGACAGGACAAAGACAGTATGACCAGACTTGGGGGAACTAAATGCCACCCAAGTTCTTCCCACCCTGCTTTGTCCCACATCTGTGAAAATGCCCAGCTTCCCCCATGCTCCTTGTAAACAAACCCACAAGCCTCCTTCTTTCCAAAGTCCTTTTAATACAGCACAGAAAGGCTATATTTTCATAGGCAAGCCGTATACAGAGTCTCCAGGAATAAGGCACACAACGGAATGCCACCCCGAGGCCGGCCCTTCAGGGAAGTCAGGAGCCTTCTCCAGGTACCCTCCAGGCGGGGCTCACGGGTTCTGTTTGTCTTCTTAGCTGAATGTACACACATGAACAGACACAGACATGGACAGGATCACCACATGGGGGTGCAGGGGTTGGTACAGGTAAGGTGGCCGTGAGAGCAAGCAATGGACCTCATTGCCACCTCCCAGAAGGCCGCAACATCCCTTACATCACTGTTAGTTGTTGCACTGGCTACAATGTAGTGAGGTTGGATTAAACTTTTGTTTAGAGTAGATTCAAGTCCATTAGATGCTAAAAGGCAGGTATAGGGCTCAGGTGGACAGATCCAAGTTCAAAGAGCTTGGGCCTGGGAGGCTGGGCTCTGGCGAGGAGGAAGCCTGCCTCCTGTTTTCATGTACCTCCTTGCATCTGGCTGACAAGGCTGGCAGCCCAAAGGACCCGTTCTCCCAATGTGTCCTTTTCCCTTGCCCATTCCCTGCCCTACCCTAAAACATTAATAAAATCATAATAACAAGATAATTACATGGAGGTGCCACCTGCCAACCTCAGAGGAAGAGGTCCAAAGGATCTCTGTTCCCTTTTTATCATGTTGTCCACTGATAACTCCCCTTAAAAAAGCAATACTTCCCAAATACACAAATATATAAATACAGGACAAGAGCTTATTAATAAGTCTAAACAGATGAATAATATACTGGCTGCTTAATACTGATATTTTCATCCAAGGAAACAAAATAGAAAAAAAACAAAAACCAACATAGCATAAAGGATTACAAAGATTTTTTTCCTCGTTAGAATTATGTACCAACTTCATATAATAATTCTATGTAGATAATATTTCCTTCTTAATGTAGTTCAGTTGCATACTTTTTACAGACCAAAGCATAGAAAAAATAACACACAAAAAAAGAAAAGTTCTCACTATAAATACTCTCTTACAGATCAACCAGACTTGCAAAACTGGGTCTAGGAATCTGTTAGATATGGATTGCCCTCTCAAAGCACTTATTTTTTTTTAATGCCTCTTTTTGTTGTTTTCAATTTCAATAATATCAAGCAATCCTACTTTTCTTTTCTTTTAAAAAAAAAAGACCCTCAAGTATATACAAACAAAATCACTATGAAGAATTTGGGGGGAAAAGGCTACCAAGTTCAGTGTCATAAGAAAAACTGGTAACCATGCAGAAATTTTAACATCTATGAATTTTTTCCCAAAATACACACATAGCATTGTTTAAAAAAAGAGTTCTGTGTCAAGTATAACTCAAAATAAATACAAATTCACAAGTAGAGCTATTGAATACTTCATATGGGGTAAACACCATTCTCTCTCAACTAGATCGCTAGATCTACTGACTGCAAGCGATTGTCCCTTTTGTATGTACTAAAACCACACACTTTCTTGTCCCCTGGGCTCCCATGCCTTCTGAGCATTAACTCTTCCAGCACCCAGCCTAGATAGTGCTATCTTTTGCTTGCCTCAAAAAGATCACAAATTCAGCCAAAGCATTGCAAGGCAGGACCAGGGAGGGGCTGCCTGAGGCAAGAGGGCCTGGCTATGACCAGATGTCCATACAGTGACCAAAATGGCCACTGTAGGGAGATGTCCCACCTTCTGCCAGCCCTGGCTTCCTGAAGACTGTCGTCGGGCTCTTTGAATCTTGGACCAAGCACACCCATGCCCAGCTTGTCCTCATCTGGGACACAAGCACACTACCCACTGCACATTCTCTACAGAGGCCCAGTGGGATGACTGACAGAAACAACCCCTTCCTAAGCCACAGGAAGCTGGGCATGGGATAGCCCTAGTGCAACAGCAAAACTGGAGAGTCTTTGGTGCTGGGTGCTCACAGTCTGCAGCCCAGCATGCCACCACTCATGGGCAGCAGGGTGGCAGCCAGTGCTCTGGACTGCCACAGATATCTTTGTTAAGTGTTCAGAGGGTATGTTCTTCCCAAATCTATCCCGCAGCGAAATGGCTGCAGATACGACCATCTCTTCCACTCACTCCCTGGACCCTTGGTTAACACTTCACTGTGACTCCTCAGTCGTACAAAGCATTTTCATTTGAAAACAAAGGGCAACTGGGCACCATGTGTAAACACTGAATTTCAGGCCTGTTTCATGGTCTGACTTTTTTTTTTTTTTTCTTTTTTTCGTTTCTCTTCTCTATAGAGGCATAGTGTTGGGGCAAAGTCAAGCTACTCATTCCTGGAAGCTGGTGAAGAGGAAAAAGACAGAGAACTGTGGCTTGTCATGGGGGGAGGGGGTGCACTGATGACCCTGGCCAGGACAGTGGCCCTCTTGGGCCATGTGACATGCCAGGAGATCTCTCTGCCTTCCTAGAAAAGTAGGAAATCATTATCCCCAGTTTCCAAAGGAGAGGTTCTGTGGCTCATTTTAGGTTTGCCCACTGTGAGGAGCTAAGAAGACCTGGGGAGGGGTCATCTTCCATCTTCTCAGGGGATAGGGATATCAGGCTAGGAGGGCTGTAGGAGAGGACCTGGCATCACTCAGCCTGACTTCCTAGGTGGCGACCAGGATTTGGAAGGCAGTGCACCTGGCTGTCTAGGGACACCCCATCCCCGACAGTGACACTCTGTGTTCCAGAGACAGCCAGCTTTCTTCCAAGTCATCAAAGCTCACTGGGGCCTCTTGGCTTTCTGATGGCACTTTCTCACTTAACTAGCAGGGAAACTGAGGCTGGAGATGAGATGTCCTTGACTCAGGTGGCATAAAGTAGTCCCAGAATGCTGAGAGCTGTATCCTTCATGCCATAAAGGCTTACAGATTTTGTGGGGTGGCATCCCTGATGTGGGTGGGAGGCAAAGGATGAAGACAGAGCATCTGACAGAACCTAAGTGGGGGAGCACTGTTCACTGTTTAATATCCCCCTGTCTGCTGGTCCCATTGGCAGAGGGGACTGTACTTAGCTACCAGGTGCAATGCAGTGATATCAGGGGTGGTCAGATTTGGGACTCAATGTGGCCACAACAGAGGACTACTCCCCCACGGCTGCTAGAACAAGCGACTGCCCTCTGTGGATATAGATTAGGAATGGAACAGGACTTCCCCAGAGTGGCTTTTCATAGGAGGCAAGCTGCAAGGTTCTGAGAGGGATAGGTCCTGGCTGGTCTTAGAGGGAAGACTTCCCTCAGGCCTCAGGATTCACAGTTCACTTAGTGTACTTGTGGCAGATACAAAGCCATTTGGCCTCAAAGACACTCAGGGAGAGAGCCTGCGGGTACACCACGGCTTCTGCTGGCCTCTGTCCCTGAGCCTCCAGTCTCTGCACCCTGTCTGGAGCATGTCAGCCACATGGTCAGAACATAAGACGAGGACATGAAACTCCTCTGCTTAAGTCCACAGGTCTGTGAGGCCTCCTCAAATATGAGGCCATTCAGCCCTTTGGGCAGCACAGGGAGGTGGCAGCTGAGGGGTGCTGTGGTGGTGGCCAAGGTCACTGCACACGGCGACAGTAGTAGCCCAGGACCTTGCACTTCTCACAGAGGTGCTGCGGGTGCTCCTTGCTCTGGTCAGATACATCCAAGCCATCAGGCTTCTCCAGGGGTCTCTGCAAAGAGAAGAAGGAAGGAGTGGAGGGGAGGGGGAGAGAACCTGCAGTTACAGAGGTAGCTCAGCCAATGCTTTGGTACCCCCACCTTTTGCCCATTTGCATACATATGTGTCCAGAAGGCGCAGGTGAAATTCCTGGGCTGACTAGAGCCAAGGCAGGTATCTTAGACCCGAACCATGGGCTTGACCGGCAGTCCTTCCTCTCTGGTCAACTGTCCCCTGAATGAAGCTCAGAGAGCTCCCAAATCTAGGCCAGAATCAGTGCAGGACAGAGATGCTAGATGAAAGAAACTGAGCCTCAAGCAAAGGGAACCCCACCTCACATCTGTCCCCATGTCACTCTAGTGGTCTTGGGAGTCAAAGATTATCCTGGGTATAGCTACACCCCCTCAGCCCTAGGGGCAATAGGACTCTTAGTTCCATAAAGCCAGTTTGGGGTCTGGGGTCAACCTCAGCCTGGCTCCTGGCCCAGTGCCTGCCCATTTATTGAGTAACTACATAAACAGAGCCTCATTGTTTTCTAATGGGGAAACTGAGGCCTAGAGAAAGGAGGCAACTTATCAGGCCCATTGGGCCACTTGTGAGCCTCCTCTCCATCTATAAAGCAGGCTGTCCCAATGCTCATTTGTAATGTTTGGAGGAACCCTGAGAGAGGCTAGCTGTTGGTAACCTGGGCTGCACTTAGGCACACACAAGTACCCTTCTAAAAAACTGCACTTATTTTCTTGTGCATGTGTTAAGCGTGTGTGTGTTCACATGTGTGCATGTGTGCCACAGCCTGAGTATGGAGATCAGAGGACAACTTGTAGAAGTCAGTTCTCTTCTCCCACCATGTGGGTCCTAGGGATTGAACTCAGGTCATCACTCTTGGTAGCAAGGCTCTTCCCCCTGCAGCATCTCACCAGCCTTCAAGTTTTTTGGGTTTGTTTGTTTTTGGTTTTGTGCTTTGGACAGCCTGTGTTTCCCTGTCTGCTGTCTCTCCTTACCCTACTCACAACAGCCAACAAAGACCTATAAATACTGTAGAGATGTCCAGGAGTGGCTCTGAAGTGGACAGCATTTCAGTTGGCCACAAAGACTCTGTTTCCTTCCAGCCCCAGAACGACACCTGTCTGCAGAAGGGCCCTGGGCACAGACATGGGGGCTCAGAGAAAGGGCCAGCTGGGAGCCATCTGGCAAGAAGAGGGGAGCAGAAACTATAGGCTGACATGGGGTATGGGGCAAAGACCTTTGGACACCAGTAACATGTCCAGAATGGTCAGGGGAGGGCAGCTGAGATAAATGCTACCCACTGGGTAGACTGTTACTCAACCAGCTGTTTTTCCACCTGGTCCAGGCCTTGCCTTGACCCAAGCCGACATTCAGAGCAGTTGGGCAAATGGAATGGAGGTTTCGAAAAGGTGAGGGTATAGGCTGCAAGTGAGCAGGATTATGCTTTTTAGATGCCCTGGAAGCAGGTGCCATGCAACTCAGTCCTTTTCAGCTTTAGCTACAAAAGAAAGAGCCGGAAGGAGAGCCTGGGCTTGGAACTGAGTGCTATCCAGAGGACTGGCCTCACCCCTCCTACTCTATCCCAGCAGGGGAGAGAAGAGTTTAACTTCCTTGCAGATCAGGTCCCAGATGGGAGCTAGATAGAGGAATGGTCCTTCAAGGTACGGGTGTTGTTTATTCTTAATATTGATGGGAGGAGGGTAGTGACATAGGGTCATTCAGAGTAGGAGGCAGGTGACCCTCCTGCTGTTCCAGATGTCCCAGAGAATGGGAGCCAGCACTAACCACTCTCTTTATGGGCTTGCATGCCTCCAGGGGCAGCAAGCTTGGTCTCTGTGGCTGAGCACAGTCCTAGGCCATTGTAAGCTCTGTGAGGACCATTTTGAACGGGAATCTGGGTCCCTATGTCTTCATCTTGGAGGCCCAAGGCACCCAGGGCCTCCTGTGCTCTCTCCTGTTTCCACAAGAGTAGTGGGTTGGTTACCACATGAGGAAACTGTTTGGCAATTTAAAAGTCTTGTCCAGCCTAGCAGTGGTGGTGCACGCCTTTAATCCCAGCACTTGGGAGGCACAGGCTGGCGAATCTCTGTAAGTTCGAGGCCAGCCTGTGTACAAGGTGAGATCCAGGACAGGCTCCAAAACTACACAGAGAAACCCTGTGTCGGGAAAAAAAAAAAAAAAAAAAAAAAAAAAAAAAAAAAAGAAAAAAAAAAAAAAAAAAAAAAAAAAAAAAAAAAAGGAAAAAAAAAGTCTTGCCCAGAGGCCTCCAGGGAGGAAATGGTGGTTCTTACACTGTCAGGAATGCTGCTGTCCTCATCCTGGGGCTCAGGGCTAACTCTAGATCTCATGCACTCTTGTCACCTGTTCAGATCCCTGGATTTCTATCCCCAATGTAGCATCCTCCTGTGCGGCTGCTCCGATCCCTGTGGTCCTGGCCCCCAAGAACTCACTACTAGTGTCTACCCTGCTCCGCCCACCTTGCTGGGCACTGCTGTCCTGGGTTTCATCCCAGGTGTTGACAGAGGTCCAGTGTTCCCAGGGATAAAGGCAGAGCCAATGAGGATAGCTGAGAGACGTGAAGAGTATTATGGGAAACTGCTCTGTCCATGTCTCTGCAGTGTACCCACATCTCTGCAGTGTGTCGATGGCTGGTGGTACCAGAAGTCAGATGGCTTTGAACCTTCTTTCATCTATTGGGTGACAGCTGCAGCCTCAGCTTGCCTTTCTATAGCCTGGGCCAGAGGTTTTGTGACAGGTGCTGTTTTTGCTTAGTTGTGTGTGTGTCTGTGTGTGTGAGAGGCCGGTGGGGTGAGAGAGAGAGAGAGAATGACTGTCTTAAAGGACTCTATAACCACAGTGTTCCACAAAGACTTCATAATATCTGTGTGGCATTTAACCTGTCTGCTTTATTTTCTCCTCCATGAAATGTATCTAACAGAGAGCCTGCCTGATAGTGTTGTAGTGAAGAGATTGGTTAGAACTGCACCTGGCTCATGGGGAACCTTCCATGCATTGACCAGTAGTACTGTTACACATTATCAGTAATATTTTGAAGGGGCAGTATCATCAGCTGAATCCTTGGGGCACGCTCTCGCCTGACCCTCTTGGCCAGCCCTATCTTGGGATTCCTTTGAATTGCTCTTCTCCTTGGCCTTGGTGCTCAGCCTGCAGCCACAGGCTGCCAGTGGGGAGCTTAGGGGAGCTGTCGGGATGACTCCTCTCTGTGGAAGGAAACACCCAGCAGCTGGGACTGATCTGGGAGGCCCCCGCCCCCGGCAGGGAGGCAAAGCCCATTAGTGTTTTCTTCTCTTCTGGGGGGGGGGGAGATCTGGGTTGTCTCGGGGAGACACAGTTGGAGCCTGACAGGAAACAGATGTAGTGGGGGCAGGGCTTCTCAGAGGGATGAGGTGGCCCAGGTCAGCACTGGGGGAGGGCAAGAGCTCTTCTCCATCCCCAGGCTCCACTGCCTCCACAAGGGGAGCAAGGAGGTGGTATTCCCAAATCTCAAGCCAAAGAGAGAAGCACAAGAGCCCAGGAACCCAGAACTTGGCCTGGAGTAGGGATGGGGGTACAAGTCTGTTGTACCCCAGTCTCCCCAGCGGACACTGGGGTGCTCAACAAACTGTAGCTGGATGATGGTGAGTGGAGAAAATGGAGCCTCAAGACCTTGAAAGAGTCTTCTAGATTGGACCCCTCTGTGTAGAGCCAGACTGGAAGGTCAGCAGGCTACACTTATGCTATGCTGGTGGGATATGGGGAGGGGAAAGGGAGGGAAAGCCGTCAACGTCCAAGGAATAGTCTAGAAAGACAGAGGGGGCCCAGCAAGTAATAGCCTGACCTGCCAGACACTGGGGCACACCAGAACAGTGTAGGGTATTGGATTCCCCTGGCCCTGAGTGTGTGAGTTGGCTCTGCCTCTCCACCTAGGTTGGAAGCCTGTGTTCTGTGAGTCCCCCAGACCTGCAGCCCAGATCCTCAGAACTCTGACATTGGACACCTTGTAGAAATTGGGCTATCCTAATTCCGTGTCCCAGTCAGTCATCATGGCCTACCCTTTCTGCTTACCCCACCCAGAGAAAGCCCTCCCCACCCCCAGGCCCACCTACTGCAGGCTGTCTAACCTTATCCTCGGTCCCACACTTATCTCCGCCCCACCAGAAGCCCCGCCTACCCACCTGCTTGTGCGGGTACACGTTGATATGGCACTTGATGCACTCCTGCCCCATGTTGGCCCAGGAGTTCCCGCTCATCCATTTTCTCTTGCACTTGGGACACTTGTACTCTCCAAAGCAGCGCTTCTTGCCTTGGTACGGTGTCAGGCCCTCACCTTTGGGGCGTGCCTGGAGGACAGGAAGTAAACACAAGGAGATGGGCCTCAGCCTTCAGCTCTCATAGCCTGCATCTTATCCCCATATGCCAGCCCTTTTGTCACTAATCTAAAATAACAAGGCCGCCTCCAGAGCACACATGCCCATCCTAAAGGTAAGAGCTCCCCAGTAATGCCAGGACAGAGACAGTGGGGTGCAGGGTTTCTAAAGAGTCACTTCTTCACCTCAGGTGTTGCTGGGCAGCTGGATGGGTACAGGTGCTTTGTCCCACCAGGGATGTGACAGCACGAGCACAGAAACTAGTGTTGACCCAGCTGTCCCCTATTCCAAGTGTGGGCTCCCCTACCTGGAGGAAATCATTTTCTAGGCTGGTTCTGTGCTCAAACCTCCTGTCTCAGCCTCTGAGGTTTGGGGGAGACAGAAAAGCACCCTCTGGTCTAGTCCCCAAGGCATCTCTGCATCCTCTGTGTCAGCCCAAAGGCAGCTCCACATTGACGAACAACACATCAGTATATACGTCTAGGCTCCCTGTCACTCACCAGACAGAAACAGATGACACATGCCTCATCACCTTGCTTTCTCTTTTGAAATACAAGGTCTCATGTATGACAGTCTGGCTTTAACTTACTACGTAGACAAAAGTGATCTTGAATTTCTAATCCTCCAGGCCTGCTTTGCAGCGCTGGGGTTTCAGGCATGTACCACCATACCTGCTTTATGGTACGCTGGGACTCAAAACCAGGGCTTTGTGCATGCTGGACAAGTCCTCTACCAACTGAGCTACATCTCCAACCCAAATAATCTTGGTGTGTCCTTCATGTTGGTACCAGTAGCTACCAAATTCTGCTTCACAGCTGAATGGTGGCAGACTTCATGAGAGCTGGTAGTGTGCCGCCATGAGTGCTTGCCACCGTTTCAACTTATATGCCTTTGTAGAGTGAATTTCCAGAAGTGAAACTTCTGGGGCAAAGGGTCCGCGCACTATTTTTAGTGATAATACCTATTGCTGCTTCCTCCCCTCCTACAATGCTTCAGCAGCTTCATATTCCAGATCCCCAGGAGCAGAGTTCTAGCTAATGCTCCCATTTGTTTTTCCACATACTTGCTCTCCTCAGTGTAGCTGTCTATGCTCAAGCCATCTGAAAGGATTCAACGGAGACTCTCAGAAATAAACAACTCATAAGCTTTAAACTGAGCACAGTTCTGAGGAACAAGACGAGAGCTCCCTCCATGCGCCTGGGACATCAGGTCTCATTGGCCCATGTATCCCGGCTATATATGCTACATGCCCATTAGTTATTCAGTGACTGGCTATTACCAAATGAACTGCAGTATCTACAGTGCCTTATGTTCAAGTGGCCCTCATTTTACATAGTAATTGTCCTGGAGCACAGGAGTAGGGTGACAGACAACTCATATGTCAAGGAGAAGTCATAAAGTGCTTCCATTACCCAAAAAGGGGAAATGTGCCAATATCATAAAGAAAGAAAGAAAAAAACTGAGGTTGTTAAAAGCACCTTTGGTGGAAACAAATACTCTGTTAGAAACTCAGGAAAGAAAGAGATCCATGCTAGATTTGATCTTGCAACTCCAAGTCCTAGTTACAGTGCAGGCATCCACAGAGGGTCTTGAAAGGCTCTTTTCTACCTTAGGGGGAGCCATAGCATCACTAATCTAAAAGGTACAAAGGCTTCTCAGACGAGGTCTCACAGACGTCTTTCATAATGAGCAAGACACATTCATGCACGTATTTACCAATGGTCTATTTATATTTCATGGACTGTTTCCTTTAGGGGGTTAACTTTAAAAATGTGTGTGCCTGCCACAGTCAGAAGAGGGCATTAGATCCCCTGTGAGCCACGCATTATGGGTGATAGCAGCTTGTACTCCAGTGCTCTGCAACAGCAGCAGACACTGACCCCTGAGCCATCTTTTCAACCCTGGCCCTTTTTCTTGTTGATTTGCAACAAGAAAATTGATTTGTGTTTTATATATGAAAGAAGCTAGTGCTCTCCTGCACAGCTTGATACCTTTACTGAAATACTGGCAATGCACACCTCACTCATTGAAAATGGTCAATTCAGTGGTTCTTAGTATATTCAGAGATGCACAGCCATCAGCACAAACTAATTTTAGGACACACTTGCCACCTGTACTCATTCATAATTACTTCCTTTCCTACTGGTTTGTTCCTGTGATCTACTTGCTGCCTCTGTGGGTTTCCCTAGCTTATAGTCTTCCTTTTGTGTGGCTTCTTTCACTTGATGTAACATTTCTGAGGCTCAGCTATGCTGAAACATGTGCCCGTACTGCACCCTCTCTTGCTGCCAAATAATACCCACTGCATGCCCATGCCATGGCACAGGGCACACTGGGATACTTCTCAGGGTAGTCATGAATAAAGCTGCTGTAAGCCTACACGTGCATACAGAGGATGGTTTTTAAAAGTTAGATTTGTTTTATTTTTAAAAACATTTATTCTGTGTGTATGAGTGCTCTAACTGCATGTACACCTTTATGCCAGAAGAGGGCATCAGATCCCCTTATAGATGGTTGTGAGCCTCCATGTGGGTGCTGGGAATTGAACTTAGGATCTTTGGAAGAGCAGTCAGTGCTCTTAACCACGGAGCCATCTCACCAGCCCTAAAGGTTGGATTTCTTACCACCGGATTTTAAGCTGGGAGACTACCCATAGCTATGGACCCATGCTAACCTTGGAGTCCCAATAGCTGAGGCGTGACTGAGCATTAGAGTCAGCATTCACTCTCCAAGTCATCTCTTGTTGCCACAGCTCTCTCTCCACATGTCTTGCCTGCTTAACTCTTGTGGGCCTTGAGTTTGAGGGTGCCTAGAACCTGGCCCTCTGTTTCATCATTAAGTATGGTGCCCTGCCTGGCAGTGACAGGGTTGTCTGGCTAGAGAGGAAGAATCTTGAGCCCCACCCTAGATTCTGAGCATTAAGTGAAATGATACAGGTGAACCCGGAGAACAGTGAGGTTGTTGGCACTACTATTATTTACTAATCTGAAGTAGTATCAGTATGTAAGATACTAATTTCTGTTAATTATGTGTGTTTGTGGTTGTTGTTTTCCAGAAGCCATTCATATCACTAGATGATATCTGACTAGAGGTCCAGGCAAAATAATTAAAAGAGAGAGAGATGCTGAGAGTGGAAATAAAACTTGGAAAGCAAGTACAACACAGTTCTGAATTTTGGGTCCCCTGCTTGATAGCACTGGATTTTCTACTAACAGTGCTGTCTAAGGAGCAGGCTCAATATGAGCCCTGGCAAGGCCTGAGAGAGGGCAGTGTTGTGAGAGATGCACCCCACACTGTCATGACCTGGTCTGCTCACTGGGGACAAGAGGCTGCCTCTGAGGCTGAGCTCTTTGGGTATCCAGTGTGCAGGTTTTCTGAGTCCTCCTGAAGCCAGTTTCCCCACTGTCACCCAGCACCTAGTACTGTGGCTCTGAGCAGCCTGTATCCATATCGCCCGTGATTCTGTCATCCAGAAGTAAGGCGCCATACGCATGTGCCCTCCTGCCTCCATTTCCGAGGGTGTCTGCCTATGCTGACGGGGGTGATGGGGCTGGGGCGGAGGCTCCATGGCTGAAATGCTTGCTCTGTAAGCACGCAGACCCAAGTTTGACTCTGAGGACCCATGTAAATTAGCCCAGTGTGGTAGTGTATACTTGTAACCCCAGGGATGGTGAGATGACAGGCAGAGTCTGGGAGCTCTGGTTCTTTGGCCTACTTTGGTGAAGTTCCAGGCCAATTAAAGAGTCGCCTCAAAAGAAAGGTACATGACACCCATGCAGTCCTCTGACTTCTGCATCCATATGCACACCACACATGCATGCACGCAGTCACACATATGTGTGTGCAAGCACATAACACACACATACACAAAATAGGTGGGTGGCTTGTCACAGAGGTTTTGCTTAGCTGATGGAGGGATTTAGGACCTGTCCCCAGCAGGTTGGCTCTGGAATCTGGTTCTGCAGACCTCTTCTTGCTCAGAGAGCCCTCAAGACCTGAGGCTTGCCTACCACATCCACGGCAAAGGACAGAATTGGAGGGATCAATTCATCCTAGCACGTCTGGAGCAAAACATGGGTCCTAGTCAGGATTAGAAATAAACTGTGAATATATGTCCCAGAGTGTCTGACTCAGAATTCTGGGTGACAGGAGCTCACATGTGTAATGAGGTATAGATTGTAACAAAAGGGAAAAACAGGCAGTTGGACAAGTGAATGAGGAGCAGAGTTACATTCAGAATTAGAACGTGGCCCTTTTGGAGTTGTCTGCCATATACCTAGGGCTGGGGTGCCTGACCTCCTATAGGCTCAGATGCCCCAGCATACCATTGCCACACTGACAGGCAAGATGGACTGTCAGCTCTCTGGCGGATGCCTCATCTCACAGGAAAAGCTCAGATCCTGGACTACAAGGCCAGGTTCCTGTGTCACAAGCTGGTTCTGCCCATTGCTACCCAGGACCCTCAACAAGTCTCTCAGTATCTCTGCTTGTTTCTGTATCTGGACCCTGGCAGGTGCCTTAGCCCAGTGTGGGCACACACAGCAGTCCTCACTCGGTTAACACTGATGTTTGGGGCATGGCTCTTCCCTTGTAGAGAGGGCAACCGAGGTGCTGCAGATGTCACAGAGGGAAGGGCTAAGGCCCAGGCAAAAATCTGAAGGAGAATGTTTTAGAAATGAGATGGTCCTGTGGCAGCAGTGTAGTCCGCTATCTCAAGGTGCGTGTTCTGGAAGACCAGCAAGCCTAAGAAGAAAGGGTGTTGGGTGTTTTCACCTTCTGCACTATTCTCCCAGAAGGACCCTCAAAAGTCCAGAGAGGGCTGTAAAGGATGGACGTGTGCTGGCAGAGGACAAAGGAGGGAAGAAGCCAGGTGTTTGTGGGACACTGCCTGTGTCCTGAACTTCATGCTCAGGGTTCGTGACCTGTCAGGTTGCCTTTCCACCCAGGACAGTTGGTGAAACCGAGGATTGGGG